CGCACTTCATTTTCACTACAGTACATGGTCAAATACTCTCCTTAGACCGCTGGCATATGGGCACATACCCACCGCTCCCGGTGAGAATAGAGGAAGGATCACTTACCTGTGTGGAGAACCAGTCCATGTTACCATCATAATCAATGTGCATAGGAATATGGTTGAGTTGTGATATCCATGTAAACAAGATACTCTCTAGAACACTAAGAAAGAGAGAGAGAGAGAGAGAGAGAGAAGGTAGGGCCTAATTTATTTCTATTTATTTAAAACATTTACTCGCCGCCTATCCCTTGCAGAGCTCAAGGTGGTTTACTACATAAAAGTACACTCAGAAGCCTATCAGCCCAGGTGACTCAATCTTTGTTCTCAGGCTATGCATTCTTAACTTGGAAGTGAGCCCCAAAAACTCAGTGGAATTTTCACTTAAAAAGAAACGACTCAAGAACATAAGCAGAGCAGCCTACTGGATCAGACCAGTGGTCTATCTAGTTCAGCATACTGTTTCACACAACAGCCAACCAGTTGCCCTGGTTGGCAACATTGCGGTGGTAACTACAGCTGCTGGTGGTTGCTTGGTCAGTCAGCCAATGGGCAGGTGGTTGAGAAGACAGTTTCTCTCCCACTCAGCTTCTCCCTGCTTTTCTAGTACCTTGGGCATGGTTTTGGCAGTCTGGCAGAGCAACCTTGGAGATGTATTACCTAGGGTACACAATACAAAATTTGAGGCACTGAGGAAGGAGGGAGGATATTGGGAGGGAGCCACCACTGTCAGGCTGTGATCACACTGGTGGCTTGGCGCGATATGGTGCCGCCTCTAATTGAACTGGGTTAAAGTGTAGTGGGATATATCAGCCACACAGCACACCCTGCTGTGGGTTACCCATGGAGACATCCCGTGGTAAAGCCTCCACATTATTGTGGCACCTCAGCCACGAAGCGAACTGCAAAAAAAATAAATAAATCCAAACACCGTGTGTGTGTGTGGTGTGCCTGCGCATGCATGTGCACATAGGCAAGTCTTTTTAAAAAAGCCTCTATAGTGGCAGAATGGATCTGCAGGTTCACACTGCCAAATCCATTCTGCGTGCCCTCCCCCGTGTTCAGACATCCAACCATGCGCAATGAATGCGCGGGGAAACAAAAACACCACTTCAGAGGTGGTGGCTTTTTAACCCGGCTCCAAGTCACCCTCTGATGGGGTGAGTACGCCCGGGGAATGCCTGACAGATGTGGCTGCGTGATCCTGCCCGTTTAATCTGTTTGTAAAATGTGCCTATATCGGTCCAAACTGCCAGTCTGAACACAACCTCAGTTGCTGCTCCCATGGGGGGGCGGGGCGGTGAAGCACAGGAGAATGAGCTAGAGGATGAATGGAGGAGGCAGAGCAAAAGGGGGGGGTTTTGTTTTCTAGGGTCCCATTCATATTTGCCGGGAAACGCGGAGGGGAGGTGTGGCTGTTTGCGGCGGCACAGTGTGTCCCGCTGCAAACAAAATCAGGCGCGACAGCAGTTTCCTTCATTGGTGCACGTTCCTGGCGCGCTCCAACAATGCAAGAGGAGCGCGCTGGAGCGATAACACAAGGAGAGTCCGGCAGCGGCCCGTTGCAAGCCATTTGCTAGTGGACTTTCGGAGGTAGCTTTTTACTCTGCATCTTTGGCTGGCTGTGATGGGTGCACTACGCTGGCCAGATGTTGCTGTGTGATCGCGCCTTTATAATCCGCCCGGCATTTGTGCCGCTTCCGCAGCAACTTCTGCGTCTGATCGGAGCCTGGTTCTGTCAGAAGCATTTGGAATGTAAGGTAAGCATTATGAGCTACAAAATCTCATGTTCTGAACACAGGGAATACTTAATTTGCTTGTATCTATTTCTGAGTAAACATAAATAGGGTTTGGTAAAGGTATAAACATGCTAAGGCCTTCCTTTTTAAACCTGAAGCTGTCCAGCTGAAAAACTTGTCTTCATTTTCAAAATGGTCTGCTCAGACTCCATACAAACATGAACGTAATAAAGAAAAAACATAATGAAGGGCTTTGCTGCTTAAGGTTTTTCAGTCAGTTCTGTCCCCAGACCGCTTCGGTTTATCCTGATTTCTGTACACAGTTCTATGCCTTTAATTTTTGCTTCTTCTTCTTTTTTGTTATTTTCCTTTTTATAGTTCTTTTGAGACCACTTTTACCCCAATCTTTTTCCGGTGACAGAGGAGATACAACACTGCACCTCAAAGAACAGGATGCTGTCAGTGACCTCTGTGCTTGAGAGGAGAGATGGATGGAGCATAACTACAGGGTCTCAGTCAATTACTCTTAGCATCCCACAATTAAGGAGGACACAATTACACACCAGCAGTGTTCCCTCTAAGCTGAGTTGGTGTGAGCTAGCTCACAGTTTTTTAGCCTCCAGCTCACACGTTTTTGTCTCGGCTCAGGAAGGAGGGCTCCAGAACACACTAATTGATGCAGTCGCCAAATCGCTCGCTCACAACTTGAATGCCAGTAGCTCACCAAGTAGGATTTTTGCTCACAAAACTCCACAGCTTAGAGGGAACATTGCACACCAGTGCAGAAGAACTGTGCCCAAACTCATTCCAGTTTGTGGACTGACTGCCAAGAAAACCAGGAGTAAGTCGCGAGTGTGGCAAAGCCTGAAAATAGGAAGTAGCAGCAGATTCAAGGTGGATTCATCTATATGTGTGTTTTACTTGATTTTGACCTTTGCAGCTGAACATGCATATCGACTTGACTAAAAAACTGAGCGTTTGGTGTGATATCAGATGATATGAAAGTTCTATCTGCAATGGCTCATACACATACAATCCATCCTTTTATGCTGCGATTATTTGGAAAAAAGAAAAGTTTCCTAACACTAATCTTTGGTGTGGTGGGAATGGTTAATATTGGAATCCAAAGTGAGAGAAAGATCAATCCATAACAACAAAGGAAGAATAGAAATCAAAAGGAACAATTAAATATGACGAACAGTACTTGAGCAGAAGAAGTTGTCCCAAAACTACTTTCACTCCCAGTAAAGGCACAAAAGTAATGAAAAATCGGATGAAATACGTAGCACTCCATGCCAGCTCCTGTGTGAGAGAAAGGACTGGGTTAGAATAGCAGATGTACAGTTGCACTGCCATTCCTTAAGCAGACACACACCTCAACCAGGTTAAACACAATTCCCACATATCTCATTGTGTATGGACTATAGACTGCTATCTGTTGAGATACCCAATCTCAATGACTCTCTAGAATCCCCGAGCCTTCTGGTGGATGGGTCAGAAGTATTCTTGAAAACCTCTAGTCCCGGCATTGATGCAATGTCCCATTGGCCCCACGGGCAACATTTCCAGCAGGCTCAGGTTCTCCAACTAGTACCTACTTACTGGGGGGTGGGATTTCCCTCCACAATTCCAGTTTCATGTTAGGCATCAAACTGGACACATGACAAGTTCCCATGGCTATGCTGATGCTCAATTCATACTTCTTGAGTCCAATTTTATTTTCAAAGTGAATCAATGGAAGCTATCTGACCAATTGCCGCCTGGTTTTCTTCTGAGTTGAGGTTCAGGTACCTAGTGATCCCATGAGGAACAGTATGCAAAGATTCCATGAAACTCGTAATAAGCTTATCAGTGATACCTGTTTATGGAAAAGCTAATTCTTTGCCTGCAAATTTTTTGGTCAGCATAGATTGAAACCATGCCCCAAAATAGAGCTACGTGACTATCTTTCAGGGCTTCCCCCTGAGATCATTTTAAAGTGCAAAAAATGCATCTTGCTACTCAGAAAGGATTAGAATACTCACCCTCCATAGTTTACGCTGGAATATGAAATAAATGGAATAAATCTGAAATACTGGAACAACAACCAGGGGCAT